TGTTGATTACTGATAAACGTTCACATATAACTCTTGACAAGAAAGCAAGTGAGTTATTTATTTATTTAATTATTTTATTTATTCATTTATTTATTTTTTGCATTTTGGATCTCTAAAAGAAAAATAAAGACTTTTTTTAAATCTGTCTTGCTCATGAATGGTACTTGTCAACTACTAGTACTGATATGAAAACTAAATATACTGTGTTCACCAACATTAAGACTGGAAAGTGGACTTACCTTACGTAGTTCTTCCGTAGTTCACAAACACTCAAGTCCCTTGAGTCAAGAAGTGGACAACGGTATGGACTATGTCTACCGATTCTTGGCTGATCTGGATTAAAAGATTTTACAATTGCAATAGGAACAATTAGTGGGAATGATCATTTTTGCATTTTTCATTTCATTTTGACTGTAAAAAATGTATTCTGAACTAACCTGAGTAACTAAAGTAGCTGAAAGCTCAAATGAAATAGTGACATTTAATTTCTAATAAAGTCTTTAAAAATCACAGAAGGTAAAGCTGTTCTAAAGATGATATTGGATATATGATATATTACATTTAAAAAAAAACTTGTTGAAAAAAAATCATTGTGCTTGATGATGTCTTATCTTGTCTGTACTAACCACCTGCTCCTGCCTCCTCCAGCGAGCTGCAGGACCGCGAGTTGGGACCACCAGCGGACAAGTTGGGTTTTCTGGGGGGCGGAGGAGGTCACGGCCCTCCTCCTCATCCATATAAACTCCTGCAAACACTGAACCACTGACCAACAACAACAAAGAAAATACATTTCCAAAAATGTCTCAGTCCAGATAATGTCTGAACTTTATGAAATGTTTTCTGCCAAATAGAAAAATATCCTACCAGAGGAGATGTTTGCAAATCTACAAGTGTGAGACAAATTAAGTTATAGGGCTACATGAAATGGCAAAAAAATCATACTGTGAGTGTATTGATTGCAACAGATTTAACAATTGCAATAAGATTAACAGTTTTTTTAACAGAAACTTTCACTAAAATCAAGATTTTTTAATTAATTGTGCATTGTCTAAAATACATTTTTTATATATGTAAAAGATAAATGTTAAGAATTGAAATCTAATAATATAATAATGTGTTCAGTTCAATAAAGAGTGCCCTCCAGTGGTCAGAGTGATGAACTGTAACACTATACAACATGAGTTCAAGTTCAATAACTTATTGTTCATTGTTGATAACTCTTGACATGAATATGTCTTTAATTTCACAGAGGAACAGACTGGAGTTATTTATTTTTTGTTTAGTTTTACACAAGCAGGTGAATTGCATTTTGGATCTTGGATTTGTGTATTTAAGCAAGAAAAGACTTTTTCTCACTAATGAATGGTTACTCATAGTGATATGAAAGATAAATATACCGTGTTTACCAACATACAGACTGGAAAGTGGACTTACCTGAAGACTCTTCCATAGTTCCCACAGAGCGTGTCAACAGCAGTCCTCATACTGTGATTGTATTGATTGCAACAGATTTTACAATTGCAATAAGATTAACAGTTAGTGGGAATGATCATTTTTGTGTCCCAATTTTCATTTTAAATGATTAAAAAGACATTTTAAGAACTAAAACTCTGATTTTATTCTTGTTAAAAACCCTGCAGTTTTTAGAAAACGCCAAATGAACTGCTTGGACTTCAATTAACAACAATAACAGATATTGTGACAATAATTGTATCCTATGAAACTATGTTCCTGTCAGATAAACTGGTGGAATAATTCAATCAATCAATAATCAATAATAGTGAGTCCCTCTACAAACATGTAGTTGTGTCATATGGTACAGAATTAATCCAGAAATCATAAAGCTTCAACTAATTATTGACAGATCTTCATGATCACAATCTTCCGCCACAGTGTTAGTGTTTGTTGTTCGAGAGGCTGTTCGCTTGTCGCTTTCACTGAACGCTCAACAGGTGGCGTTGATTTCCTCTGACAATAACAGCAAGAAAACAACAACAACAACAACTGTTTGAAACTTAATTTTCCTTCTCACAATAATCTCTCATTTTCACCTCATGTAACTCGAGTTTGACCGATTGTTGGTCCATAGTCACCAACGTTAGTATAGCTGTTCGCTCCCTAACAGACGCAGCGACCTTGTGTTTGTTTGTGTTTGTTTGTGTGGCCGTTCGGCCTCTACTGACCTTATAACTCACTTATTTTCTTCTTCCTCTTGTCCTTCAAACGAATCAGGTTCATGTATCCGGAATGAGCGCGAACTTTGCGCTCAGGTTGTTAGTCAATAGTTTCAGCCGCCGCGGATGCGTCATCGCGTCAGTTCGCCGACCGGAGCGAAGTCAGGAAGAGAGTGTTCGCTGGTGGAGAGTCATTGGTGCACTACAGGGGGAATACTGGGAATACTGGGAATACCAAAGTGTGCAAAGGCGGAAACAACTATTTTTGGAAGCCTGTTTTATACTTGGGTATATTTATATATTGTTAAAATTGTTTCTATAAACCTGTGAATGCCAGCATTGATTGAGGGAGGGGCTCAAGCATCATTCACACTCTGGGATCAACTCTTTATGTACAATATTGTATACATCTCTCTATATGTCTGTGCATGATTTTGTTTTACTTCCTCAGCATAAAGAACACGTATGTCTGAAACTTTATTGAAAAATGATTACAGTATTTTCACAAACTGACACAAATAGTCAACAGAAACAATGTTGAATACAGACCAGGGGTAACTGGAAGATCGATGTTTTGGAAGGAAATGCAAAAATGAATTTGAATACCAGATTGGACTGAATGACAGTCATAAATATTGTTGGATACTACTAGAAAAATATCAGTTTCACTTCTAAACCCCTTCATCGGTCTCTCTCATGAACTTCAATTGATAATTTGAGACATCCAGATCAGCTAAAACAAACTTAAGCATGTACGAAATCAAGTTCAAGTTAGATGATAATCAACATTTTGACTTTATAGACACCAAAATACAACTTTGTGTCAACTGTTTCCATCCCCTTTAACTAAACCAAAAAAAAAAAAAAGAAATCTCATGAAAATGATAAAACATCACACAATAACATTTTTGCAATAAAATGTCAGTGGAGTAATCATACATTTTCTACAGGAACTACAGATGATTTAAAAATAACTGTTGATATATGACATGCAGTACAACATTTCCATTCATACCTCCAACTCAACCAAATAAACAACAATATGCAAATGGTATAGCAGTGAAATTGTTTCAAACTAAACTAAAAAAAACACCAGAACCCATGATTGAATCCTCCATAAATCTAAAAACAAAACTTGTAAGCAATAACCATGAATCATCAAACCTTAAAAAATATTAAACATATCAGATTATTGCCAAAAACAATAATGTATAAACTTTATCTATAGAGCTAAAACACAAAAACCTCTTCTCTTTGGGCATTACATGGTAATGAACAATGTGAAATGTTTCACTGAAACAACCACAATCTGCCTTATTTTGGCAAATAATAGTTAGTGTGGACTGTCTGACTGACAGTGTTCTTGAGCTTCGCTTAAGCATGAAAATATTTTCCTTTCAGGATCTGCCGCACCTGGAAAACAAAGAAAGAAATAACTTATCACTGCACTCACATGATCAGGCTGATCACTTTGATTTATAATTCAGATATGGAAAATAACATCATGTTCAACAAGGATCTTATCACAAAACAAACTTAGTTTCTCAATCCAGTGTGTTTTCAAATGACTCACATAGTAGCGAGGCCTTCTCTTTGTTCAGATAAGATAATCTGTTACCTTTTCACCGACGGGGCCTTCAGGCACCAGCTGAGACGGCAGTTCATTTTCAAAGTTCCTGGTGCCGGGGTCGGCTCCCTTTCTCATCAGCAGATTTACTGCTTCTACTTGAGTTTTATGATTTTGCAAAGCGCTGACAACGTGCAGGGCGGTGTTTCCACTGAATGTCTGAAGCATACGGACACAGAATTACACATTATAGTCAATTCATTCATTTCACTCCGGTTTCATTACAACAACAGAGAAACTTACCGGGACATTTACGATGGACAGTGAAGACGGCTGGTCAAGGAAAATGCTCAGCAGCTCCAAATTTGCCTCCTCAGAGGCCATGTGAAGACACGTCCGTCCACTTTTCAGATCCTGCGGAAATCAAAAATAGACAAGAAAACAAGGTTGTTTTCATAATCTCACATTTTGATTTAAAAGGAAAAGAAAAGGAAATATGATTTTAAATGAACATAAACCAAACCACAAAACAAAGGCAGCAGTTCTGATAGTTACCCTTGTCCCAAAGGAGGCGCCCATGAGCAGCAGAGTCTTAATACATTCAACATGCTTCTGTCTCCTCTGCCCCAGCTCCATTTTCATGTATGAACAAGGGTTTCCCAGATTCCTCAGCTCTTTAACAACGGCGTTGTGAGTCAGGACTGCTGCATGCAGCGGAGTTAAACCTCCAGACACAGAACAGCAGTGTTTCATTACAAATATGTTTTACTGAAGAGGTTTTAAAGCTAAATAAAACCATACTCACCATCATAATTGAACATTTCAATATCAAGCGGCTGCCTGTCACCTTCCGATAACGTCCTCCAGATGCTCTGTGGAAAAGAAATCAAGTTAGTCAAAACAAAACACATTTTCGGCCATAACTGAAGAATTGATGCAGTAACTATGACGACATTTCACACAGACGTTTAGTGGGATACAAAGATAAAGTGGTGACATTTTTTACCCAAAATGTCAAAGATCAACTTCACTAAGACATCATTAAACACGTCCTTTAAAGTCTTCATTACACATATGAGTATGGACATTTGTGGACTCAAAACTGCTACTTGAATATTTTAAGTTATCACAACTAAGATAACAAATAATGAACTCATCGTTAGAACTTGTTTACTATATGTGAGTGCAGGCACAGCACATGAAATATGAATGAATCTTTACACTGAGAGAGAGAGAGCGAAGGAGAGAGAGGGAGAGGAGAGGAGGAGGGTGAGAGAGAGAGAGAGAGAGATAGAAGAGAGAGAAGAGAGAGATCGAGAGAGAGAGAGAGAGATGATGAGAGAGAGAGAGAGAGATATGCGTTTATGCATTTTTACCTGAAGACTGAGCAAGTGGCCTTTCTCAGCACACACATGCAAAGGAGAGCGGCCCCAGAGGTCTCGAGTGTTGATCTGCGCTCCGTGTGTCAACAGGTCGTGGATAATCAAATGCTGATTGGTGGCAGCTGCTAACTGAAGAGCCGTCTGTGTAGGCAACAACAGACACTGCACAACATGGACTTGGAAACCACGAGTCATTGAAACAGTACTTGTGTTTGCTTTATACCTGCCCGTTGTGTTCTTTCACGTCCACAGAGCCACATCTGGCCATATGTGCAGCGAGCACGTACACCAGAGCCCGTCTACCTTGTGCCACTGCTATGTGAAGGAATCTGGTGGTTGGCAAAGAAAATGGCCTGTTAGTTTATCCACAAGCAATATATATATATATAATAAATATATACATAGATATACTGTATATACATATATGTATGTTTAAGGTTAGGTCTGTTATGGCTGGACATTTTTATCTTCTTATCATCTTTTATCTTATTCTCTTCATTTATTATTAAGCTCACTATTTCAGCTGTTTATTCACTTTTAGTTCACTATTTCAACTGTTTTTAACTTGTCTAAATTGACTGTATATATAATACGTACGTGTCACCATCCACATCTTGCATGTTCAGCAGCTCTGGAGAAATTCCTTCAAGTTTTTGTGCCTCTTGCTGTATTTGCCAGTGAAATAAAGTCATTTTCACTTCAGCAGTCGGAGCCTCTTGTCCCCACAGAGCTGGATGTTGCGTTAGCTGTGGGGTAATATTACCATTTTCGGGAGCCCATTGATTGGTAATATTGAAGTTTACTGGGGCTGGATGGCCAAACCGATGACAACTCATGTCGTTGGAGAAAGCTTCAGATTTTGCAAATTTGAATTTATGCTCAATGTTGTTGTCTTCCTGGGAGCAGTTCCATTTCTAAAACAGAATCATTTCTGAGCTGTAATTTAATTCAGTAATTTTATGAACACATCTGATTGTGATCTGGGTTTTTTTAACAAACCCACATTTGGCACTGTCTTTAAATTATTTGCATACTAACAACCTGTACTTTTATATAAGAGGAGGAATGCCTTATACTGAAGGAAGTCAAACTCCATCATCAGAAACAAAACTAGACAGGTGAACAGCTTTTAAAAGAAATAAAGCTAAAATTCCTACATATTCTTTTTTTTCCAAACAACTATAGATAAAACATATTGGAGTTGATTGCAACTTCCAAATCCTTCAGTCAAACTTAAACTTGTCTTATCATGCTCATGTGTTTAAATACCTGTTCTACCCGGGACTAACCTGGCGTCTCAGCAATAGCAGTTCCTTCACAGTGTTCTTCTTGTGGACGGCTTGAGCGTATTCTGGTAGCTTGGGATCAGTGCCTGAGGAAAAACACAGTATGCATGATCAGATTAAATCACAAAGGTAAAGGAAACGTTGAAGTCTGCAGGAAGTAATATACTCACACACTTTTACTGAAGTAAGGTTTTAGGTGTTTGTACTTTTACCTAAATAAAGGATCTGAATTCTGCCGTTCTCTAATGTTAACAGAAATAAGTTAGACTTCCTTGTTCCCCCCATGTCTCGTAAACAATACAAGTGGAATCAAATGTTTAGGAACCAGAAGATTAAACAGTGAGCTGTGGTTAGAGTTTCATCCTTTTTAAAGTGGTCAATGGTTATATCAGATTACAGCGATTATAAAAAATTACCTGTATCGTTTATGAAGTTGGCCCCCATTGACAGACTCTGGCTTCCTCTGGTTTCATTCCCTCTTGGATCCAACATGTTTAAGGAGTCATCTATTAGTAATCAACTCCACTTGGAACTGAGGTTTTTCTCCTCTCACACACCTAGAATGTAAAACAGTCAGTGATCAATCAGTCAGTGACAGGGTGTGAAAACGACAAAAAAAGAAAACGCACGAGCGACTCACCTGTCTGCAGCTCTTCTACTTGTCACCGCAGGATCAGAAATGAGGAACAACTGCCTCACAAAATGCCCCACACCTGGCTCAACTTCCTGGTTGACAGGTTAGTAAGGTGAGTCGAGTGTTTCAAAATAAAGGTCTTACACATTTTGTCACAGCTGAAAGTTAATCCTCAAAGGTGAATGCAGCAAAAATTCAGTTTTACCACTTTTTATTTGCAGTTTGCATTAAATTAATTCAAAGACTAAATAGTAAATGATTTATAAAGTGAATCCTTATCTTAAAAGAGTCCAGTCCTCAAACTGAAAAACTAGTTGAGGGTCATTTGATATGCAAATGAGGCCAATGTACTGCATACAAGCAAAGCCACTGAACAATAAAGCCTTCATAAGTGAATCAGTAATCAGTAGCCAGACTGCAGAGCAAACTTGAAACATAATACTCAATACAGCAAGAAAAAAACAATGTTATTAAACAAATATTACACAGGGGGGAAAAGAAACATAATTTTGTTATTGTACATACCTGTTAAACTTACTGATCAACCTGTGCACCACTGGAACATCTGCAGAACTGAAAGACCCAACATACAATGAAAGGAAGGGCAGGTGAGTCATTTTAAGTGTTGGTGGCACAAACACTTTCCCTGCTAACAGTTCAGAGAAAGGCATGTTGGGTTTGGCTTGAGTCCAGATCCAGTGTATGCTTGTTTGTCATTATAGCAGAGGAGTAGCAGAATGTGGTGGTAGTGCAAAGTTTATTTTTAAGTTTATTTATGCTTAACTTTTACTTTTCGGTCCATAAGATGAGAACATAGCTTGTTGTTGCTTTCTTACATAGTTGTGTAGTTACATCAACAAATTAAACCTTGTTTTCAGTCTCATTTTGTCGAGTGACGAGTAGTAATCTAATCACCACAGGTTTATAAGTTATTACAGGAGTATAAATTATACATGTCTTGGTCAGACATCACAATTACCCATAGCCCAGAGTGACACGTTGTAAATGAATGTTTTGTCCAAACAATAGAATACAATTCAAAGTTAATAAGATAATTAAAAGGAAAAGCAGCAAATCTTCACATTTTTAAGGCAGAACCATAAATATTTTGCATGAAAAATGATTATCAAAATAGTAACAAATTAATTTTTTGTCAATCTATTAATTAACTAATTGTTTTTGTGTGCAACAATCTTAATCTGTAAAGTAACTAGTTTACTGAAGCTGTTAAAAAAAATGTAGTGGAGTAAAAGTACAAAGTCATTCAAGTAAAGTACAAGTACCTCAAATTTGTACTTTGAGTTTCTTATTATTATTAAATCAGAGTCTATTATTAATCATGAGTCTATTTTGATGACATTTACTTTCCCCACAGAACCTGTTTCCATACATAAGAAAATAAGAAGTGTTTCCATCATTTCAAAGCCTGTACATTCCAACTGAACAGTGTCTGCCAGATCTGCCACCCCCCCCGAAACGTTTCACAGTCAGCACATAAGGAACATCACATTTAGGATTGAATGCCCCCTTTTAATTTATTAAGGACAAGATTGTACACTTTTTATATTCCACTGTGAATGAGTTGAAGGGAATGACATGCAGAGTGCAAGAGTGTGGAGTATTTTCAATTCATCATTAAAACCAGCAGTTTCACAGTTAATAGGTCTTACATGAGAATTGGTATCGCACTTTGCTTTCATGCTTAAATCTATTTCTCAAAATGTAAACATTTAAGTCAAAACCTCCCAACTCATGATGACTTTTCCCATATATTCAATTCATTCATCAATATACATTTGTAAATGGTGTTTACATCCTGGAAGAGCACTTGAGCCTTTGAACGCAGTAATTTCATACCTTCAGTTTGACAAATAATAGCTGACGCTTAACCACTACTTAAACAAAATACCCGTTCTGCTTCTATCCAAATGGAAACACTGGTTCTCTATTTGTTTGAACACAGAAAGACAAATACGACAAACATGAGGCAACAGATTAAACACTGTTTGTTTACTCGCTTCTACTTTCGTCAGGGTTAACGCCTCTGACCTTCTCTACAGAGCAAAAGGAACGAATTTGTGTCCCTATGGATTCATAAATCTTATTTTAAATTAAGCATTAATTTAAATAATTTAATCAGAGACAAAACACTGCACTCTTAACATTTTAGTGCGACAGACTTTCATCAAGAGTCGTCTTTAACAATGCAAATAAAACGTTTGCATTCGAGTTGTTCAGCACAAGATTTTTGCATATTTGACATTTAATAAAAATTATTAAATTTAAGCATTTGAGGTTGATAAAAGAGTAACTAGACAGGTATGTGTAAATTCCCCTGATAAAGACCAGAGGAACAATACTACAAATTCTGTAGAAATTATTTTTTTGCCAATTTCATTACATGTGGAGAATGTTTAAGTAATAATACTGAATCTGAACCGTGACAGGCCTTAAAAAATTCATACTGTAATGAAATATGAAATCGAGCTTCCTGGGATGAAAAAAAAAGCTGAGACCAAAATAAATGACTTATTAATAGCTGCGTCAGATTTTGTCCCTTATGATGTTCTGAGTTGGTTTCTAGCTTTGGGAGATTTTTTAAACGTGTCAAATTCACCATTTATTCATATGCGTGAACACAGAAATTCTAATTGTCTGCCAATTCATCTTTGACATTCATTGCATGTTTGCCCATTACACATATTACATATTATTCCTGCTTACAAAAGCATAGATGCAACCTTGTCAGTTCATTAACTCGTCCCTTCCCTTCCTTTGTTTTCATTTAACCACAAACTAACTCTTTCTTTCTGTCTCTTAATCCCAACTGTTAGAAAATATATATATATATTAGACTC